TTTAACTAAACTTAACTTAATACTTATTAGTATAGTAGTTAATAAGTACGAGCGATATAGTAGTAGTTAGGTTAGTATACTACGTAGAACACGACCTACTACTATATATATATATATATATATATATATATATATAGGAGGAGAGAGAGAGATAGGCATGGCCGAGAAAGTAATAATACCTTTGAAGATCTACATCTGTAATGTAGATGAAACCAGCTATATTGCTGCCAAATACCGAAAAGGAATGAATAAGTGATGCGCTCTCTAAAATGCTAAAGAAAAAAAATGAGCATGGTCATCATCTAAACTAAATTATTTTAACATACAAATCTCAGTATTATTTGATGCCAAGATGTAACCTGGCTCTTGATCACAGAGATATCTGAGTCTTAGTCTACAGTCTACGCCGAGATGCAAACAAAGTGCTTAATCATTGAAAATTTCTTAGTATTGTTCCAAAGCAAGAAGAAAACAAATTCACTAACAATAGAAATATCTGTGTATTCATTCTTCAACAAAATGCAAACTAACTCATCACTAAATATTCTGGTATTATTCTACAGCAAAGGAAAGAACACTAATAACCCATGGGATTATAGTTGACTTCCCCTCATTGTAAAATAATAATGAGAAAATTATAAATACCCCCCAAAATCAACTTTCCACACATCCTACCACCCAATACTTTTTGTATTATGCCCTAAACCCCAATACTATTTTTCTTTGTATTTACCCCCAATCAAAAAACCAATGCGTTTTGGGACAACATGGACTTTTTTCTCTTTCTTACCCATTTATCTCTTTTTTCTCTCTCTACCTCTCTCCACCTGTCCTCTCTCCTCTCTCTCCACTTGTTTCTCTCTCTACCCTCCCTCACTCTTTTTCTCTTTATCTCTCTCCAACTTTTTTTACGCGGTCCGGCACACTCCTTGCCGGACCGCATTATGGGCAGGGGAGAAGTTACTGGAATTTGTGCAGTCCGGCAAGTAGTGCGCCAGACCACAAAAAAATGGAGAGAGAAATAGAGAGGGGGGGTAGAGAAAGAGTGAGGGAGGGTAGAGAGAGAAACAAGTAGAAAGAGAAAGAGAGAGGACGAGTGGCAAGAGGTTGAGAGAAAAAAAAGCGATAGAAGGGGAAGAAATAGAAGAAGGGCAATTTTGTTCCAAAACTCATTGAATTTTTTATTGAGAGTAAATACAAGGAAAAATAGCATTGGGGTTTAAGGTATAATACAAAAAGTATTGAGGGTAGGATGTGTAGAAAGTTGATTTTAGGGGGTGTCTATAACTTTCCCTAAAATAATCCACATTGGGGTAAACAACATCCATTGAAATGCTGATATAGAAGAGGAAGAAGGCAACTCAGCTCTCTCTCTCCGCTCACAATTGCTATCCATCATTTCATTGGATGGTGACCGCCAGTTGATTGCATAATATACTTCACAACAATAAGGGTTGTTATTACCTTGTTATAATTTGGTCAGGTTCCTTGGCATAAGAAACTGCTAGGATGAGATGCAGCATATCTTGGTTCATGGTCGCGGGCACAAGGCGGGTTGGATCGGCAGTGGGCTCTGCTCCTATTGGTAGTGCGGAGCGTGGAGCCTGGGGCCCACCACCACAACGATATATAATCACATCGTTGAAGCTTGCAATGCTCGAATGAGGGGATAGGTCACTAGAGGGACCATAGAAGTATTCCTGCAAATAACCTAAGTCATATTAGCATAGGACCACTCTAGAGTTTCTATAATTTATCATTTTGGAGGTGATACTTGGGCATGCATTTCTGTTAAAGGTACAATGACACCAGTATGAGGAATTTATGTTCATCTTTTATGCTTTTATTTTGTTTTCCATAAGGGTTATATTTTTCATTTCTCAAAAATATTCATGGAATCGAAGTGACACTCCTTCTATAGCTAGATCCATGAACCATACTCTTAGGAGCGGCCATCTCTGGCATAGGCCTTCTTGTAGGCGTGGATACGGAACACCATGAAAAAAATAGAATTCTAAAGACAATCAATGTTGTATGGATTGAGATGGCTAATTGTACCAAGAATGTGGCAAAAGAAGTTTTAGGAGAATCTAAAGGGAAAAGGCATTCAAATAAGCAAACTTGGTGGTAGAGTTGTGATGGTCAAAAGGCTATTCGCGAAAAACGATCATGTTACAAAGCTTGGCAATAGAATAAAAATGATCAAAACTTAGAGAAATATAAAAAACCCAAGAAGAACGCTAGGAAAAATAGTAAGTAAAGCTAAATTTAAGACATATGACGATCTGCTAATGCAACTTGATTTTAGAAAAACAAAAAAAAAGAAGTTTATTTGAAACTATATTTCATTTTGTTCTTTAGGGCCACGGGTGTAATGTTTTTATTTTATTGGTTGAATTGTGACTTAAGGCATGAGGCGTAAAATGGGTACTTAGCTTAGAATTTAGTTAGTTGCTATTTTTATGAGGGTGAGTTGTTTCTCTTAATGCGACGTGTGGGTATGAAGGAGTGGATAGGGATGTGAAGTGAGAGCTAAAGAGAAACTCCTACTTTCAGGAGAGTTACAAATATTTCAAGAACGATTTTATTGGGAGAGTTACTTGTGTGACAAGGAGAGATGAGAATAGAGAGGGAAAATCATTGGTGAGAGTTATTTTTTTCTTAGTCTCTTTTTTCTGTAGTTTGTATTGCAAAGGGGGTACATCCCTATAGAGAAACTTGGATATTTTTTGTATACAGTTTTATGAATGAAGAAAAGAGAGCATTTTCTTCCCTTGGCTTGATTTACAACCATTGTTTCTTTTTCCAGAACTGCTGAATTTTGCTTGCTTTAAGATCGAAAAAAGACCGGATTTACAACCATTGTTTCTTTCTCCATATCACTTGATGCGAAAGGAGCTTGGAAATTAAGTTCCTGAACTCCATATCATCAAGTGGTATCAAAGCAATGTTGGCAACTACGACGGTTGGTCGTAGCCATGGGAATACTGCCTTGTACTGAAGGCTCGATAACTTGATGGAGATGGTTGCACGATTGCTGGAAGAGAGAGATTGGCAGCAATGTACCCCAAACGGAGAGGTTCCTGCGTTGATGGATTTGAATCGTGAGGGTCTTGATGGAGATGGGTATGAAGCGAGGCTTGAATCTGGGGGGGAACATCTTGAGCATGTGTTCGATCATCCAAATTTGCTCTATGCGTGACGACATCGATAAAGTGTGAATCTGATGAAAAGTAGAGAAACCGATCACCCCAAGACCGATATGATCGGTGTAGGGGCAGGGATAGGAAGGAATCATCATGTGATCGACATCGAGATGCACGGAGATACGAACGTAGGGAGTCAGATTCAGGTATTAAAATTGTTCTCCCTTAATTTTATGGAAATTTTTCCCCAGAAGAATTTTTGCACTGGTTGAGCACGATTGAGTGCTTCTTTGATTGGAAAGAATTGTCCGATTCAAAAAAGGTCAAACTTGCAGCTCTTAAACTTAGGGGACTTGCATCAGTATGGTGGGATCAAATTCACGAAGCACGGGTTTGAAAGGGCATATAAAAGATCAGCTCATGGGTCAAGATGAAAGCAAGAATACGTGAGCAGTTTCTCCCGCCGAGCAATTCACAAACATTTTACCAACAGTTCCGTTCCATAGGTTACATCAAGGTACAAAATCCTTTCGGGAGTATACAGAGAAGTATTACCGCGTAGCCTTGCGCAATGGGTTAGTGGAGATCGAGGATCGGTGCCTCGTTATGTTTCGGGGTTGCAGAGTTCGATCCAAGATGAGCTCCCCTTGCATTATATGCCTCGGTTGGAGGCGGCCTGGCAAACCGCTTTAAAGGTGGAGGAACGACAAAGAAACGGGGCAGCCATAAGCCGAACGAAAACCAATGCGGGATCATCACAGACTGGGAGGCCGGTGCCTCCAACTTGGGGTGTTCTTGCAGCAAAAGAGGGCCTAACTGCAGTACCCGAGTATGAACCCAAGCTCAAGAGGCTGCAGGTCTGAGGTGTTTTAGGTGCAATGAGGTGGGGCACCCAGCTGCATAGTGCCCATTGAATGCAGCCAGCGTCATGCCAATTTGGTAGAACCTGAACATGACGCTGAAGAAGGGGAAGGCCATGAAGAGCACCTTGCGATTGAGGCTGAAAATAGGGCTGATTTTAATGATCAAGTCGATGAAGTAGTGGCTCATCAAGGAGATACCTTGCTGGTTTGACGTGTTCTATCATTGCCACGTGTATCCCAAGAGAGCGTTGGCTGAGGACTAACATATTTCGCACCTGGTGTACGTGTAATGGCAAGGTTTGCACCGTGATCATCGACAATGAGAGTTGCAAAAACACAGTCTCTGAAGAGATGGTAGAGAAGTTACATCTCAAAGCTGGAAAGCATCCACATCCTTACAAGGTCGCATGGTTCAAGCACGGGGTTGAGGAACCTGTTACTTCTTGATGATTAATTAAATTTTCAATTAGTAATTTCTATAAGAATGAGGTTTGGTGTGATGTTGCACCAAGGATGCTTGCCACATGCTCCTAGGACGTCCCTGACAGTATGATCAGAAGAGCATCCATAATGGTACCTTTTGGAAGGATGGCCTCAAGGGGGCATTGCTGCCCTTGCATGCGGAGACTCCACCCAAGTCTTCTAAAGAAGAGGGTGTCGCTCTTCTTTCACTCTGGCAGTTATGGATGCGAGTGACGAGACCAAGCTAATTTATGCACTTGTAGGAAAGGATTTGGGGCAACTTGTTTCAGTGTCCGAAGCTCTTAAACCACTTTTATTGGAGTTTGAGGACCTAGTGCTAGATGAATTACATGTTGGCTTGCCACCTATGAGGAATATACAACATTGTATAGACCTTATAACTGGGTCAAGTTTACTTAACCTACCAACTTATAGAATGAGTCCAAAAGCGCATGATGAACTCTAGAGGCAGGTGGATGAGTTGTTGGCAAAGGGGCTTATAAGGGTTAGCATGAGTCCATATGCAGTACCAGATTTGCTTGCCCCTAAGAAAGATGAATCATGGAGGACATGTGTAGACAACAGGGCAATTAACAAAATAACAGTCAAATACCGATTCCCTATTCCATAGTTAGATTATATGCTTGACATGTTAGCTGGAGCTTCTATATTTTCAAAAATTGACTTGAGAAGTGGCTACCATCAAATTTGCATACAGGAAGGAGACGAGTGGAAGATTGCTTTTAAGACAGAGTGGGCTGTAGGAGTTGTTGGTGATGCCTTTGGCATATCAAATGCGCCTAGCACGTTCATACACATGATGACACAGGTGTTACAACCTTGTGATGATATACTTGTTTGTAGTATAGATGCCAATGCCCATGTTGATCATCTTCGTCAGATACTAATAGTGCTAAGGGCAGAGAAGCTATACATCAATCTCAAAAGGTGTAGTTTCTTGACCAATAGCCTAGTTTTTTGGGCTATGTTGTGGCTTCAGATGGGGTGAAGGTAGATCCTGAGAAGGGGAGTGCTATAGTAGAGTGGCCGGTTCTAAAATCAACAACAGAAGTGAGAAGTTTCCAATGGACTAGCTACTTTCTATAGGAGGTTTATTAGAAATTTCAGTAGTATTATGGCCCCAGTTACCGAGTACTTGAAGGGTGAATGTTTCCATTGGACTTCAGCTGCAAATAAAGCTTTTGGCACCATTAAAGAGAAGATGATGAATGCTCTAGTGCTTGCATTGTCATATTTCAACAAGATTTTCGAGGTAGAATGTGATGCTTCTCACATGGCGGATTGGTGCAGCGCTCAGTCAAGAAAAGAAGCCTATTGTTTTCTTTAGTGAAAAACTAAATGAGGCAAGAAGAAAGTATTCCACGTATGATGTGAGCTATGCGGTTGTCCAAGCCTTAAAATATTGAAGAAATTATTTGGTGCAGCGAGAGTTTATCCTATATACTGATCATGATGCATTGAAGCACATCAATAGCCAGAAGAAGCTTAGTGCACGACATGCAAAGTGGGTGGCTTACTTGCAAGAGTTCACATTCACTATTCCGCACTAGTCAAGGGATCCGAATCGGGTGGCCGAAGCATTGAGCCGATGTTCATATCTCTTGCGCACCTTGGCTTTGTGAATGTGGTGGGTCTTGAAGCTATTCGGGAAGCATATTTGGAGGATCCATATTTCAGCCTTATTGTTTCAAAGTGCAGTTTAGATGATCATTCCTCTTAGTACCAGTTCACATTATCTGATGGATATTTATTTTATGGTGCACGGTTACGTAGTCCTGATACTTCTCTACGAGAGCATCTTATCTTGGATCTCCATGGAGGGGGCCTAGGTGGTCATTTTGGCAGAGATAAGACGTACGCCTTGGTGGAGGAGCGATGGTTTTGGCTACACATGAGGAGGGATGTGTATCGCTTTGATGACAAGTGCAGAGTATTTTTGGTGGCCAAATGACATTCTCAGAATACAGGCCTTTACACACGATTACCTGTCCCGACTAGGCCTTGGGTTAATTTATCCATGGATTTCATGGTGGGGTTGCCTAGGACAACATGAGGATGTAATTCTATTATGGTGGTGGTGGACCGATTTTCTAAGATGGCACACTTTATACCATGTAAGAGGACCACAGATGCTACGATGGTTGTTATTCGCTTCTTTAAAGAGAGTGCAATTGTATGGTACGTCTTATAATAATCCTCCAAATCAGTCGACTAGTTGGACTCCTTTTACAATGGTTTATGGTATGTCTCCTTTACATTTTCATTATTTAATTCCTTTACCTGCACGTGAGACTATAAATATAGATGTTGCGAATATGCCTGAATATATGAAGGAGTTACACAAGAATGTCCGCAGAAAGCTAAAGGAGAGCTAAGACAAGTACCATGATGCTGTGAATCGTCCCCGTCATGAGTAATTGTTTGATGTGGGAGACCTTGTGATAGTGTATTTGAGACCTGAACGGTTTTCTGTTGTCACTTATGGAAAGCTCAAAGATAGGAAGATTGGACCTTGCAGGATCAAAAAGAAGATTACTGACAATGCTTATAAACTGGAGTTGCTAAGCAGATGGAATATCTATCCAGTCTTCAATGTTCAAGATTTGTTCATGCTCCATGGTGATGCCAAACCGATGGAGTCGAGTCTTCTCCAACCCAGGGAAGATGATGCAAATTGATTTTAGAAAGAAAAAAGAGAGTTTATTTGAAACTATATTTCATTTTGCTCTTTAAGGTCATGGGTGTAATTTCTTTATTTTATTGGTTAAATTGTGACTTAAGGCATGAAGGGAAAAGGGGTATTTAGCTTAGAATTTAGTTAGTTCCTATTTTTATGGGGCGATTTGTTTCCCTTAATGGGACGTGTGAGTATGGAGGAGTAGATAGGGATGTGAAGTGAGAGCTAGAGAGAAACTTCCATTTTCATGGGAGTTAAACATTTAAAGAAAGATTTTATTGGGAGAGTTATTTACGTGACAAGTAGAGATCGGGATAGAGAAAGAAAATCGTAGGTGAGAGAGAGTTATCTTTTTCTTAGTTTCTTTTTTTTTGTAGTTTGCATTGAAAGGGGGGACGTCCCCATAGAGAGACTTGGATATTATCTATAGAGAGTTTTATGAATGAAGAAAAAAGAGTTTTTTCTTCCCTTGGCTTAATTTACAACCATTGTTTTTTTCTCTATAGCTGCTGAATTTTGCTTGTTTTAAGATCGGAAGAAGGCCGAATTTAATTTACCAGACTCCTTACCATCATCTACACAATGAATCGGGATAAGAGAAGGGGAAAAAGATGTCTTAAAACTAGCAAAAATGAGAGAGGAAGTGTAGAAATCTAGATGATGTCAAATATATTATGAAAGGATTAGAGGGTCTTAGTGAAAGCACAACATTCAGAAGAAGCTTAGACATAAATGAGGTCGAAGGTCATAGATACATTCGCATGATTAGGATATCTGAAGTGCAAGAAGTTTTGAGAAAGATGAAGATAGGAACGGATTTAGGACCAGATGGTATCCCATAGAGGTTTGGAAGTGCTTGAGAGAGAATGACATATCCTGGTTGACCAAGTTGTTTGATAAGATTTTAAGAACAAAGAAAAATGCTTGATGATGAAGAAAAAGTATTATGGTACCTATTTATATGAACAAAGGAGACACAAAACTGTACAAACTATCGAGGGATCAAATCTGAGCTACATTATGAAGCTGTAGGCGAGAATGATTGAGCAACGACCATGAGAATAAACAAGTGTATCCCAAAATGTATGCCAAAGGGGTCACAATTGAAGCTATTTTCCTACTTAGGCAATTGATTGAGAAGTTCAGGGAGAATAAAAAAGACCTCCATATGGTCTTAATTGATTTAAAGAAAATATATGATAGGGTACCCAGAGAGTTAATTTGGTGAGTGTTGAAAAAGAAATGAATCTCTAGAAGATATATTAATATGGTGAGAGATATGTATGAGAGAGCACTACCTAGTATGAGGACAACTAATGGAGAGACAAGCGAGTTTCAATGACAGTAGGCCCACATTAAGGGGTCAATGTCGAGCCCATATATCTTTGTTTTGATTATGGACGAGTTAACTAGGTATCGACAGGATGAGGTACCGTGGTATATGTTGTTTGTTAATGACATAGCTTTGATTGATGAGACTAGGGACGGTGTCAACACAAAGTTAGAACTTTGGAAGGATGCCCTAGAATCAAAAGGTTTTAAAGTTAGCCATACTAAGATAGAATATATGGAATGCAAGTTTAGTAATAATAGGAGTAGAAATGATGAGTTAGTTACGATTGATAACCAAGAAGTACTTAAAGAGATTATTTTCGATATCTTGGGTCGATAATATTTGAGAATGGAGAGACTGAGGAAGATGTCACACACAGAATTAGAGTTGGGTGGATGAAGTGGAGATGTGTTTCCAGAGTCTTATTTGATTGTCTCATACCAATGAAACTGAAGGTGAAGTTCTATAGGACAGCTATAAGACCAGCCATGCTTTATGGGAAGGAATGTTGGTCAGTCAAGAAACAACATATTCATAGAATGAGCATGGCTGAGATGAAGATGTTCGGATGGATGAGTAGCAAGATAAGAAAGAATAGAATTCAAAATGAATACATCCGAGAGAACCTAAGGGTGACTCCAATAGGTGATAAGATGAGGGAAAATAGACTTAGGTGGTCTGACCATGTACAACATTGACCTAGAACAACACAAGTTAAGAAGGGCGATTTGGTTCAAGTGCAAGGCTCTAAACGGGTAAAGGGAAGGCCCAAAAGGATATAGATCGAATTAGTGAAAAGATAAATGGTGATCTATGGTTTGATTAAGGGTATGGCCCTTGAGCAGAACGATGGAACATAATTTGTGTAGCCAACCCCAAATAGTTGGGATAGGCTCATATGATAAAGATGAAGAATTTCTTTCTCTTGAGAAATACTCGCTGAACAGTTTTTAAATTTTTTATTTTTAACACCATATTACTAGCAAAAAGGATGTCCATCTAAGATTCAACCAAAATAATGCATGTGAGATTGCTTTGATGTATTCCCTTTTGGGAAACAAGGGTGAACCACAATCTTGTACAATCCCATTTTAAAGTATTTTTAAAATTATTTTTAAAAACTTTCAGGAAAAAGTATTTTAAAAGCAATAATTTAAAATTAGTTACACAAATAAATATAAAACTTACAATGTGCAACCCAGTAAATAAAGGCTCCACGAAACTCACGGCAAATGCAGGTCCACAAACCTATCCCCTTATATTCCTGGATCTTTTCCTCTCCACACCTGCAGCTTTTGTTCAATAAGCTAGATCTCCTTGTGAAAAATAAGGAGCCTCTATGGAAAAAGAAATCACTCTAATTGGACTTTAGAATCCAAACTATGGTTGCAAATTATGTTATCCCATAGTGCTGATATTGCGCAAAGGTATCTCATTAGATGGCACGATCTTAAATTACCATTATTATAAAGACAAAAAGAAATTTCCAAAGAAAAAGAGTATACCAATATTTGTTCTTCAAATGTTCAAGAAAAGATCAAGGTGTATATTAAGTACTAAGCACCATCATATCCAAACAATGAAGTTTATGCACATTACAAGAATGAAATTAGATGAAGCACACAAAACAATTAAGAGAATCGACATCTCAATGTCAAAAGAAAGAAATAGCTGAAGCAATGCATATCTGCGTGAATACTAAATGATTTTTTCTAACAAAGAAAGACATTACCAAATAGCAACATAACATCCACAAACATAAAATCAAACTTTATAAAAGCGAAGCACATATTAAAGAATGGCATTCCCCAGATAAAGTGCCTGGGAAAATCTCTAGGCTCAGATTGCAATAATGTTTATTAATGCTGTTCTATACCAATTTCAAACATCTACTTATAGCCATAGGAGAAGTGACTATAGCCAAATGGACCATGGAAATCATGGCATACAGGTATTATGTTCATTAGATTAAAGGATAAATGGTGGAGAGAGTGGGACACCACCATTGAAGTCGTGTCCTGTCCTCGGGGGATCCCACTCTCTCCATTACCATCCATCATTTTGTTGGACAGTCATGGTCCCAGGGGATTATGAATTTCCATTATCCATTAGACTGGAGTCTATTTTACCCACGACATATTCTCTGTGTTTCCTCTAGTGCAATGCAACCTTAGGGCATCTTAGGGGGTGGTCCCCTCATAAATGCAACTAGGATTAAGAAATATCTATGGGAGACAAGCAATTATATAGCAAGTAGGTACAAATAGTTACTACTAATCCAGAAACCAGATTATAAAAAGAAATGAAGAACCCAAGAATGCCTAGTTAAATGTTGGCACCCACCCTTATCCTATAGCTTCTGGCCTTTTGTCTGAATTTTGGATTCCTGGGAACAACACCTCCGGACTTATGAAGCTTTACAATATCCACATTGGGTTTGGTCTTCAAGACATCTTTTAACATGCTGCAGAGTTTCTCCTGCACATAAATTACAAGACGGTGAATCACTTCATATACAATCTAAAGAAGAATGAAACTACACAGTACACAGGGCCTAAGAAGAAGTTACAACCAGTCACACAAAAATGAATTTGTGTGAGGAAAGTATCCACAATCCAGTGGCCTGTGATTTTCTCGTAGTGAAGACAGTGGGGACCTACCAGAACATGACATGACCCCAATGTCTTCATCGCTATTTATCATTTCTTTGGATTGGATGGTAACAACCACAACGGATCCCAGAGGCCATTGGATTATAGTGTACTTTCCATTCAACTAGTGGGATACATATTCATGATCAGCTGCAAATTGTCTAAACAAAAAAGTTTGAAGACAAAAGGACCTTCATTTGCAAGATACATTACACTTTGTATTCATATAAATTATTCACAAAATCGAGCCCATGCTACAATATTTTTTATTTTCCTTCTGATGAATAATATCCTATTGGATTTGAAGTCCAAAAATGATATATTATTGAAATACCTGTCCAAGCACCAGCACTACATTCGCATTGAAAGTATCAATTGCATGAAGAAGCAACTGTAATCAGTATGAAACAAGGGCAAAAATTCTGAATAAGTTGCGACCCATAAAATCAAGCAAAGAAAAAATTGCTGACCAAAAAAGGAAACTTCAGAATCGCAGATTTAATTACCTCGTAACCGACACCCTCAACCCATCCCATGGTGTTGATTACCATGCCTGCTGCTCGAACATCTGCATTAGCAGAAAATTGTCTCTCCAAAGTTCGAGCTAGTTCCTTGCAAAGCACTTTGTATAACTCTGTATTGACACTGTTTTTGCCAAAGATTTAGTAATTTTTATTCTTCGCCAAATGTGAAGAATGATGATAAATTCCAGCCACCCTAATGGATACTTCTATAGACATTTACAGTGGACATAAACAGATCATTTAGAATTAATGCCAAATTACGCAGCTCGAGCTTGGGACTTAGGCCCTGCCCTTGCCGAGCTACTCAGGCGAATCCATATGGACTCACCTGAGCCCTGCTCAATCCAGAAAATAAAAGCAAAAAATTGAAAATTAACAAAACTTAACGTAAAACTTCGAGAAAAAAAAAACAAAAAAAATGTACAAAATCCCCCCCAAAAAAAAAAAACTAAATCGGCATGTACATAAACATGGAATAATAGAAAAAATTGACACTAATGAAAGAATAGAAAATAGATAAATCATAAAAAAATATAAAGTATGTACACTTATACTCATGATATTGTTTTGTAAACATTCACATTGTTCTTGGGTAACTATTACCCTATATGATGCATACAAAACAATGCAATGTATACAAAACGATGCCCCTGTATACAAAACAATGGAGCTATTTGTCCCCAAAAAAACAAACAATGCAACAACAGTCTTGGTCATTGATCACATGACCTCTGGATCCAACAATAGACCCAATGCCAGCAATATATGATTGTACAACCCACCTCTAATGCCTTCCAGAAAATAGATGCTACATGGACTACTATATCATCCTTTCCCACCCATCCTCAACTATCCCTACCCCTCAAGTAATCCCTATTTCTCAAGTTCAACCTCAAGTGTTGGCATGTACCTCCCCAGCATCCCTAATCATGAGACTCAGCCAACAAAAGTGCGACACAATAGCAAAGGAGTCCCCTTCTAAGCTAAGGCCTGACTGCTAGGATCCAAACAATCTCCAATCGTCTCACCCAAGCCTAGACAGTTCAATGTACAGTACTCGGGTATGCCGTAGCAGCTTGTCTGAAACTATAGAACTCGGGCGAGTCCTCTTGTGTTCTATAGTACTCAGGAGAGTTTGCATGGTACTTGCAAGAGTACTGTACAGGCGTCTCAAACCCAATTTTGTACACATGTATTTGCCTAGGCACCAGCCGAGGCCAAGTAAATAGGCAGGGTCCGAGTTGACTTGGCTGATTTCACAAATCCTGATTACAACAATGTAAATTTTCAAGGGAAGCTATGCTATAGTTCAATGGACATACAGAAAATATAGTACATTGTGGCGATCACAATCAAACGAAATCAATCGTGATAAGGAGAGACACATCAGAACCGCACATGGCCCCCTATGGCAGGTCCCATACTCATTCATCGCTATTTGCCTTTTCATTGGATGGTTATAACCTTGATGGACTATTGTTTTCAATAATCCAAAAGATACCTGTAAATTTCCCTTTTTCTGAGTAACTTTAATAATAGCAGAAAGGAAGTACCTAGGTGTTGTGTGCCCAAAAAAATATACAATGGGCATTTCAAGTGGTATTCCTTCAACTGGATCAATTGGCATTTCAATTGGAGTTGCAGCAATACATCCAGGTATGGTTATCGATCCTTGACCAATATCTAGATCCACAAATGTCGGTTTCCACCTCTGTTTGGCAGCCCAACTGAGAAGCATTCTTGAGAGGCTACTTTTTCCAGAATCTGTAGGCCCCACAACAATCACACGGGGACCCTGCAAAAGCTCATATATTAACATGCTTAACAATTACAATATTTATCAAAGGAAAATAGAAGGAAAAAAAAATTAACAAGCCTAATCCAGAGGAAGACTTAAAAGTTCTAGTGGAGCATTATGTTTTTCATGGATAAAAGAAAAATCTCCACAGAAGAAAAAGGAGTTCGTCTTGATAAAATATATCATTAGATAACAATAGAAACTTCTACTAGAAGAAACATCCCACTAAAACAAGAGCTAATTCCTCTCATATCTGCATTCGACCATAAAATTTCAAAAAGAAAAAAATCAGTTTCACTTAAGTAAATAGATGGCACCAGAGAGTGGAGGGTTGGAGTAATGATCGTAATCAGCTGGTATCACAGACAGTCAGAATTCAACTTCGCCCAGCCAAATTATAGAAAGATAAAGTAACACGTAAGCGTGAGATGATCTCTAATTACAACGGCATTTCCATCTTCCCATCTTGAGGAGTGTGTATTGCTTTCACAAATATGCAGAAATGTCTTTTACGGCACAACTCAGATTGACCCATCATCATTGATTAAAACATGGATTCACCACAGGACTCGCTAGAGTCCTGAACGCAAGTTAGCAATCTGAATCTGCCAACTCACAAACAAAACTACACCAAACTCCATCAAAAAAAAGAAAACAGTAGGGCCCAGACAACGGTGAGATTCACTCAACTCATGAGATTTTCAAACTCGAGGGGGCACCCTACAGGGTCTGAGTGACAGGCATGTCTGAGCTCAAATCACCGAGTTTCAAACACTGCTCATCTTTACCTATTGGTCCTTGTTTTTTGCAGGGTGGGGATTCAAACCATAGAATTCTCACCTGCAAACTAGTTGTCACACTGCTAAACCAAAACTTGAGGATAGACAATTCATTTTTCATTCAAATATAAATTGAGCTTTATTGTAAGGGTTGCAACAAAAAATCTGAAATTCCTAAATAGAAAAAGAATAAGGAAAAAAGCTTACAAGTGCAATGTCTGACAATACCTTTTACACAGCTCTTTAGATACTGTTATGAAGACAGACTCCAAGCTATGAAATCAAAAGTAGACCCATAACTTCAAAATAAATGGGAGTTGTTGCATAAATCTATCGATCCGTTACCTATCAATCAGTTAGACAACAAGGCAATTGGCAGTTTGGTACCATTACAGCCTCCTTAAGATTATCTTCCTAATTGAAATGGCCGCAATAACTATCTTTCTCTAAGATTTGTAGGATATTGTGGCCTGCAAAGACATTTCTTGTTCCTGGTCTACGTATTCACTTTTTGCCAATTGGGCTGTTAGATGAAAGAAATTTATATGTTGGGACCAGGGATCCGTAATGTCCTTGGATGCATGTGAATTCATGTAACAAGGTATCGCTCCATGCGTTTTCATGTAATCGATGCAAACATAACTGGGCTTTCAAAACTATAACCCGGTGATCACCATTTGCATACTAAAGACATGAAACCTGTTAAACATAAATGATGAATTGCCTCAAACTAGAGACATGTTACTCATCACGTCGTGAATCAGAGTAGAGAAGTTTCCTGATGAGTCTTTCGTGTGCAGTAACATGCAAGAAATGATAGATCAGTGGCAGACACAATGGACTTAAGCTCTACTCAATGGATCTATATCCTTGAGTGGTCGCTTTCAAGCAATTACTAATTGAAGTGGTTTCAATTGATAGGAAAATAGGTTTATTAGAAATGAAAGCACAATGTGATGGAAGGTAAACCATTTTACAAAGTTTCAGATCCGGTTTCTTTCACATAAGGTTTTAGGTATTTCATCACATAAGGTTTACCTATTGGTCCTTGTTTGTTTCAGGGTGGAGATTCAAACCATAGAACTCTCACCTGCAACCTAGTTTTCACACTGCTAAACCAAAACTTGAGGATAGACAATTCTCTTTTCAATCAAATATAAATTGAGCTTTATTGTAAGGGTTGCAATGAAAAGTCTGAAATTTCTAAACAGAAAAAAGAACAAGGAAAAAATCTTACAAGTGGAATGTTTGACAATACCTTTTACACAGCTCTTTAGAGACTGTTATGAAGACAGACTTCAAGCTATGAAATAAAAAATAGACCCATAACTTCAAAATAAATGGGAGTTGTTGCATAAATCTATCGATCAGTTACCTATCAATCAGTTAGACAACAAGGCAATTGGCAGTTTGATACCGTTACAGCCTCCTTGAGATTATCTTCCTAATTGAAATGACCGCAATAACTATCTTTCTCTAAGATTTGTAGGATATTGTGGCCTGCAAAGACATTTCTTGTTCCCGGTCTACGTATTCACGCTTTGCCAGTTGGGCTGTTAGACAAAAGAAATTTATATGTTGGGACCAGGGATCAGTAATGTCCTTGGATGCATGTGAATTCATGTAACACGGTATTTCTCCATGCGTTTTCATGTAACCAATGCAAACATAACTGGGCTTTCAAACTATAACCCGGTGATCACCATTTGCATACTAAAGACGTGAATCCTGTTAAACATAAATGATGAATTGCCTCAAACTAGAGACATGTTACTCATCACGTCGTGAATCAGAGTAGAGAAGTTTCCTGATGAGTGTTTGCTGTGCAGTAACATGCAAGAAACGATAGATCAGCGGCTGACACAATGGACATAAGTTCTACTCAATGGATCTAGAAATTTTTGTGCGGTCGCTTTCAAGCAATTACTAACTGAAGTGGGTTCAATTGATAGGAAGATAAGTTTATTAGAAATAAAAGCACAATCTGATGGAAGGTAGACCATTTTACAAAGTTTCAGATCCGGTTTCTTTCACAAAGGTTTTAGATATTCCATCAAATTTTAATAGAATGAACATGAATCACGTTCACATAGAGGCTATCTCTTAAACTCAGAACTCAGTAAAGTAGGCTTAAGTGTACAAGTGAGAAGGCAGGTTTTTGAATAATCATTTTTTCTTTTCGTTATTTACATGGTAGATCTGTGCTTCAATCATGCGCTGAAGAAATATTGAATGGAACCAAAACTTATTTACCCAGTTTCCAAAAAATTTGAACAGCCCAACATTCTTAATGCATAAGTTTTGTCTCAAAAAAATAGGAGAAAGCAATAGCACAAGGGATAAAACATTCAACTCAAAAGTTACCTGAGAGTCAACTGGGGCTTCTGAACGTTGTGTATTTGAGCTAGTATTTGAGGATGCCCCTTTTGCACGAGCTCTTCGTCCCTCCAACACAGCATGTACGTTCACATAGCTAACCATTGGTGTCTAAAAGGCAACAACCTCATTTGACTTCTCACCAAAAAACTTCTAGAATTCACAATCTTTTCGCTTTTGGGAATGTGGGAGAGAGAGATAGGGGTAATGATCATTTAACAAAACCAAAAGTTACCGAGCAAAAACCTACTCCACAAGGGTAGTCAATGCTGGAAAAAATAACATACCTCATCAGCAACATACTCAACTTCACTGATACCATCCACATCAATAGTGGCACCGTGCCAAGTGAAAACCTGAGTTAAATACTTGAATAGGATCAAATCTAAGAAATAACATAAATCTTCAGTGTCAAGCATTCAGGATTTTTATTTTTACAAAACCAATTAAACACTAGCGAGAGTGATGTAAACCAGGTTTCAAAATTTCATTAGAAAGTATTAAGAAGGCTCACAAACATTTCAAGAAATATGAAAAGAAAATATGTAAGTTATTTCTGCTTTGATATTTTGTTTGATGGAAGGGCATTAGTTATTGTGTATTGCATATCCAAGTGTGGAACAACGGCCACCGTTTTTCTCTCTGTCTCCTTAAATGAGTCATTTTGGTCATTTCTATCACAAAAAGTATGAGGTATAAGCGGATTCAACACCTTAGTTCCATGCAGATAATTCATTTGACCATCTTCTCACAAGAGCTCAAGAGTTACATGGTAGCAAATACAACAGAAACTGAGACTGAAAAAGTGAAAAGTATTCATGAATCCGTTCTACTAATGATCCGAGAGTTCAAGGCCATCAGATTGATTCCATGGAATCAAACCAAATTTCTATTAAGAGATTGATAACAGTATCTAAGCATCATTGACATGGGGTTACTGTTATACATGGAACATCAGCCACAATTGCGAACTAAATTCACTTTTTCCATGTCAAATTCCAATCTTTCTAATCTTTAATTTAATTTAAATTCTAAAATGATATCAATTTTAATAATAATTTGCGCAAATTTCGTGTACTTTGTATGACATAGAACTACCATGTTTAATGCCCAACATACAGCAGTCTAAAGATTATAATCATAAACTACTTCTTCCCAAATCACATTGATTTATTAGAAGTTATATTTTCCTCGGTAAGTTACAAGAAATAAATTTGATAATTTGGTATATTTTAAGCACTCAAAGTTCCCCAGACCTACCTACAATATTTCTGATAATCAGATCACCCAAACGGCTCATCCAAACACTTATAATTTGCCCATTGATTCTGCCAATGTACCCCTCTAAAATCGTCATCCAGTTCTCAAGAGATTTGACTGCTCCATAGCCAGGTAGGAAATTTCCTGCTAATAAAAAACGAAAAAAGATGTAGGAAATTTCCTATTTTCCACGGTTAAGTGATGTGCTTCCAATGCCAATAAAAAGTAACCCATCAATGGTATTTAACATCAAGAAAACTGCCCAATAAAATGCATCCCAAGCCAGAATATCACAAGTACCGCCTTCTCGTGGACTGTTATGTTAATAGAATCTCACCATTCGTGATTATTAAGTTTTGCATCCTTCATACTGTTATTATTGCATGATCATGCCTAGTGTAGGAAAAATTGAACTGGAACAGTTACCATGACATGGGGCCAGAAGCAGTTACTTGGTACCAACCGGTAAACCGGCCGGTTCAACAAGACTAATTGGGCATGTCCCGGGCAGTCAAAAAAGTGTTAAAAAAACTAAAAAAAATCAAATCTAATAACATATAAAAAGTATATTTAAAGCATGATTAAACAAAGAACATCCAAATAAAGTTGAAAATTAATGGGAAAAAATGGATTTTAAAGAATCGATTTGTGCCCAACGGTATTTTTGATATTTTCCAAAAAAGATGGAAAAAATATAAAAATAAGTATTAATGGCCAAAACAATTTCAAATCTTTGCCAAACTGATGAAAAACATTAAAAATGCATTACAAACAAAATCCCTTATTGTTTGGGATTTTATATTTTGTTTGATTTTTTTTAAAGGGTGCGGTTTGTATAGAGGGGCTCAAGAGCCTATGTTCAAATAGTGTCGAGAAATGTGACTTCAATATTGGAAATCTTTGTGATAGACTTAAAATATATTTTTATATTTATTTATAAAGTTGTTTAAAGCTTCAAAAATAGTGTAGATCGACAGATCTATGAAAATCTTGAAAATTGACGGTCCATCTATGAAAATGCATTACAAAAAACACTATTTCCAAACTTGAAATCCATTTTTTTCATGTGCATATATCTTGATGTCGAGATGATCAATTTGAAGATATTTGGGCATCAAAACACCTCTTCTAGTGAAATTTTTGTGGTAGGCTCAAATTTGATTGTTTAGAGCCTCGGCTCTATGAAAACTTTTCCCTTTTTTAAAATACCCGGCCGGTTCATCAAAACCAACCGTAACCAGCTAGTGACCGGTTCCGATTTAGAATTTGAACCCGATTTTTCCTACACTGATCATGCCTATGGATGCCATAATGGTTCCATTCAACCTTCCAATCCCCATTTTAATAGAAAATGATTACAATCATGAGCATTTCTCTTAGGAACTACTATAATTGGCAAGAAATCATGGGTATGCATGTAGGACTCATGAACTATTGATAGGACTAATTTAGATTAAACCAGCTCAGACAGCACTACTCTTTTATCTACCTACATGGAACTTCATAGATGCTCCTCTAATACCTCAGAATGTGACATAGGAGCAATGTTTTCAAACTCAGCATTGGCCTAGCTGCATACACCGAGGAGTCCGAGTGGAGTTTCCTGAGTATGACATGTGTTTCAATGGCCACTATTCCTTTGAGTCTTTGACCTTGTTTTCTTTTTCAATGGGTCTTGTTCTATTATTAGCTTTTACCCATGTGGCAAAAATGTATCGTGGTCCGGCGAAGCCCCCTTTAACCATTTCAATATGTTTGAAAAAAACTATTATTAGTATTAGTTTGTTGTCATTGGGTCTACAGCTTTTTCCCTCCCATGTGGCAAAATTGTGCAACAGTTATAAGCTTTTCCCTTTTGCACTTCAATTTTCTCACTCTTCACTCTCTAAATATTGTTCTTCACATCAAAATTCCTCATAAAGTGATTTTTTAGTACTAGATATACCCCCAGAGTTTGGGGTGGGAGGGTTTGGGCTCAGTGCCCCACCAAGTCCGTGTAACTTAGGCAAGTCCAAGTTGGACTTGTGGGGTTTGAAACAATGAATATGAAAAATACATAAGCTATCCATGTTTCTATTTGAAGTTAGAGGTTCCCTCAAACTAACAAAGCAATGTGTTGCTTGACTCACATCTATGGTAAACAAGACCAAACAACCTATGAATACAGCCAATTTGCCCTCCATGTCCACCCAACCAAGAAATTTTGCATATATGCAGTCTTCTTTTTTATGTTTTTTGTTTCTTCTATGCATTCAGATAAAGATAATCTTACATAACTTCATGAAGTCTTTACTTTTTTGCATTTGAAGGATTGATGCTGGAGCTCATCAATAGAAAGTAAAAAACCTTATTTTCCATTTCACCATACCATGCCCAAATCATAAACAATGGCACTATAGCTAAAATTGTATTTGATGAAATCAAGCCATTAACTCCGAATGAGTTAACCTCCCAAACACTAAGAAAGGAGACTTGTTGCGTGTGTAAGAATGTGGCTGAGAGCAATTTGGGTGGAAAAGATTTTCCATTAAAATTCACTAGGAATCAGCATTTCTTGGTTATACAAAAACTACTCAAGAATGGGAAACCAGCATCTAGATCCCAATGAACCCCTTTATCTGAAGAAGATATACCTTTTTTCCTAGATTAGATAATGAATTTACATAATCAACCCAAGCACACTTATGAATAACATTCCACTCAAAGAAAGAACTATTATGGAAATTTCTGCAAAAATAATGCCCAAAAAAAAAAAGTAGTAGGAATTAAATACCTGAGAACCGACTGGCAAAATTAATGTGTCTTAATAAACCATAACTAGTGAAACACCCCAAATGTAGCCTTTTCCTAATTAATTGAGGTCGGCTGCAAGAATCCTAGTCCTCCAACTGGGTATATCCTCCAGCTGGGTATATCCTTCAACTAAGTCGCACAGGTGTTGTACTTTGCTGGCGGGCCAGCCAACCCAAGTCTACTCTCTACCATTTTATCGCCTATTGGTGCCATAAATTACCAAAATTGAAGAAAAACAAATGAATTTTTTTTTAGGAAAAAAACAGCATGAAAGAGTGAAATATTAGTTGCAGGTGTTTTATAGGATTGACCAATGAAGCAAAAATCTAGAACTTTCTAAAAAAAAAAAACAAATATTGAAGCAAAAATCTAGAGAGAGAGAGAAGTTCAAATGCTGCTCATATTGTGTTCTAGTGGAGTGGTATAAGAATCACACATGTGACAGAGGAAAAAGAACAAACATATAGAGAGCTGCCGAGGATTGAACTCTATTTACAGAGAGAGAGAGAGAGAGATTGCTGCAATTTTGTTACGGTGGTGTGTAACCAACACTGAAAAGACAAGCGATAAACCGCTTGGAGGACGAGAAAGAGAGAGTACTGCAATTTTCGTCATGTTGTTGAGGAACAAAACTTTGTAAAGGAAAAAAAAAGAACAAATTTCTAGAGAGAGAGTGAAATGGAACAAAAATCTTACAGCGAATTTGTGCCTGGGTGGCAAAGTGAGCCAAATTTCAGGAGGGAGCTCGGTACCAAAAATCTCAGCCGTGCCGCCAGGGAGCAGACGAAAGCGGAGGGGAGACTCAGACCCCACTTCAATCCTCAGCTCACTCTCCTTCTCCAGCTTGAACTGCCTCGGAAGAGGAGGATTAGACATCTCTCTCTCTTTAACAAATCACACCACCTCTCTTCCGAAAACCTAGCGCTAAAGCTTTAAGAGTCAGGACAAAACAACCCTTTCTCTCTATCAGTTAGAAGGACAAAACTCCGCTGCTCTCTCTCTAGGGGCACAAGACCTTTCTCTCTCCAGGACGAAAAAGCCTCTCTCTCACTCTACAGTCTTGAAGGGGAAACCCGTCTCTCTCTGTCGCTCTCGCTCTCACTTTCGCTCTCTAGGTCTAGCAGTAGTTCGGACGCTCAAGTACAGGAACCCCTGGGTGTCCGAGGATCAAATTTCAAATTTCAAATTTTCAAAGCATGAAATATTCAATCCCTAATAACAGAGTATAAGTTCATTTGAATTCTAAAATAAGATGCAACCTTTACTAGTAGCTTCATTTCAATTCATTTAGGGGCCGTTTCGGTACTTGGAAACCTATTTTGTCTATTATGAAAAAATATGACATTTTCACAGTTTAATACACTTTATAGTAAAGAAATGAAGAGGAAATTATTTGATAGTTTCAAAAAAACCATGAAATATATTATGCACAATAAACGATGCAATTTTATATAAAAAGGAAATGAAAAAAAATTACTTGATATTTATTCAAAAATCATAAAATATATTATGCTTTATTAAGCGGTTGACAGGCAATATTTAGAAATCTTTCTTATGCGTCTTTCTACCCTATTCTAGTTTAATAAAATATCAACTCGCCTGCTCGGTTTGTATAAGTGCTCCTCCTTTCTCTAAACACGTCTCCTCTGTCTTGAACCCGGTTTCGATTTCCATAGTTGCTCCCTTCCTCTCTGAGCCGTCCCCTCTTTCTTAAACCCGGTTTGCATCCCTCTATCTTTATGCTTTTTAAGCCCCTTACTCTCTCATCTACTTTTTCCATTCTCCCTCTCTCTTTAGCATATTTGTTCTCCTTAGCATATCTAATCAGTGAGAATTACATAATACAATTATAATAAAAAATTAAATAAAGTTTATATAAGGTTGCAAATGTTGTTTTAAATATGTACCTCAAAAATCTATCGAAAATGTTGTTTGGATATTGAAAAATCCTCCCTTTGATGAATATAAAAAAAACAAATTTTTGAGTCTAAAAAATAGTACATCTTGCAACATATTATCTAAATAGTCTATTTTCAAGATTTTTATATGTTTGTAGATCTCCTTGATTTTAACCATTCGTGGAGTTTAAAATTTTCTAATTAGATATGAAAATAGATTTTAAGATAATACTAAGAAATTTTTGTAACAAAATTACATGTTATGATAAAATTTGGAGGTGCACCTTAATTCGATTATTTAAGGTTGCAACCTTATAGAAACTGCACCCTAAAAAATTTCACCCAACATAAGAAATTAGACAACACAATTATAATAAAAAATTTCACCAACATAATCCTCATATAAGATATTAGTAAAAGCTCAATTAAAATAAGATATGTGTTTAGTTTCCTCTAATATCTCAAAATTTTCTACTACAATTATCAACCATTCTAGTTTACTAATAAAACTTCTTCCTATTTTTCAACTAGTGCCATAAATATTTTTAATTTGGTATTATAAATTTATTACTTATTTGAAATTATATAGATAGACATTTGAAAGTCTTCTATAAAAAATAAATAAAAATAAGGTTGATCACAATAAAAACATGTTATTCCAATCATATTATTCCAATGACTTATCATGTTGAAACCAAAGTCTAATCATGTTAGAAGACATGTGATTCCATGTAAGTACCAAAAGCATGCAAAATAAGTAAGAAATTGTGTGATGATGACTTTAGAATGATATAAGTTATTATTAGAAAATCTTTTTGGAATGGTGATGGTGTTATTATTAGAAAACCTCTTTGGAATGATGTGATGATAACTTTAATTCTACATTTCAGTAGAATTTTGTGAAAAAAAGAAAAAGAAAAAAAATGATAGTTTATAGGCACGTGTTGAAAAAAAATTGGTAATGCATTTATCATATTTCTTCTATATATCCAAACAATAGCCATGTATTTCCCAGGTTACATCTAAATACTGCCCAAATAGTGACAATCTATTTGCAGGTACTATATTACGCAGTAATGTATTACTCTAGTAATATATTTCGCATACAACATATTTCCAAGTATCCAAATGGCCCCTTAAGAGAAAAAAGAAAGATCTTTTATAAAAATTATTTTTTATATTAATTTTAGGTAAATATTGCCTAGAGTAGTGCAATATATTTATAATGGTAATATGTTGTGCTGCCCACTTACCTTGTATTATGCGTTTTGGTGTCAACTCGAGTGGCTCTAAAAATAACCAGGGAAAGGTAATAGTAAAAACTTTTATTGTAGAAACATATTAAAAACGACATATGAGACTTCTATTGAATCAAAACAAAGGAAACTTGGAAACTAAAGTTTATAATATAATTGATAAGTTGATACTATACATATAAATATTTGATTAAGATTTAATAATTAATAGGAATATGTGTTTCGTATGTGATTTGCATCTTTTTAAGAGAAAACATTAGATTTTTTTTATTAAAATGTGATTTTATAGTAATCTATTACTTAGACAGCAATGCAATGTGTCATGGTTACTTACAAAAAAAAATGTGCCATTGTTGGAGTGATATTATATTATGTGGCCAACTAAATTTGTGTCATGAGTTTAAATGTCAAACTCTAAATATTTTAGACTTTTTAACTAGTAACGAAACCAATACAAACTTAAAGAGGATCAAAAGATTTTTATTAAAAATGATTTTTATATTCATCTCAAGTAAATTACTGTTTGGTATGTTTGTAGCGGTATTATGTTGTAGTGCTTGCTCAACTTTTGTTATGAGTTTGTGTGTCAACTTTAAAAAGTTTAGAATTTTTAAGTCATTTATGTATAGAGTAATGATACTATGAGACCCTCCCACATCCATGTGATACTAATAACAAGAATGATACAAACTTAAACATCTACGCACTCATAAGAGATTTGCTCTACGTTGAAATTCATAATTTGGTCCAAGTTTGATTATATGTTACACGATGTTCTCGCTCAACGTTTCATCTCATATGCATTCTCTATCCACCAAAGTATAGTAAATAAGAATGTGAGCAATCTTATGCAATTTTTTTTTTTAAAATAATTTTATTTGTGCATTACAATTTATAATTAAAATTAATTTTATTTGTTATTTCCAATATTTCTCAATTATAAACTTTAATATATAATAAATTTATAGTGTTTAAGATAAATATTTGATATAAGGCTAGAAAAATTTAAAAGGTTATGCTATGGGGCTCACACTATGGAGTAATTTATCATTATGCTCAACAAATTTAGACACTTCGTTATTAAGAAGGGTGTGACTTCATCTACATGAGGTGTGATATTACCTACATAGAGCATCAAATGCCACTAGCGTGTACCATGTGGGGGATGTCACACCTAATGTGTATGACGTCACACTCCTCTTAATGACAAAAAAAACCTTTTATTAAAAATGCTTCATGTACAAAATAAGGATATAGAAGCGTCCAAAATTTATTGAGTACAATGAGAAATTACTCTATAGTGTGAGCGCCTAACATAACCCAAATTTAAAATACTCATTTTAGCAAAAAAATTATGTGCTTCCTTTAATATTAAAATATTTCTAATTTAAATTTGACTTTCTCTATGGAGATTATTCAAATCAAAATTCCATCTCTGTAATTTTATAGATTTAATGACTACAATTTTAAGAAATCGAAATTGTTTTTTAAAGTAGTCACCTAAAATTTCGGATCTACTAACAATGTATGGCTAATTTACATCCTACGTTTTTTTTATATAAAATGTGATTTCTTATATCAATCTTATATAAACTATTGTTAGAGCATTGCACTATTTTATGTTTGTAGTGGTACTATGTTTATTTTTAGAGCATTGCACTATTTTATGTTTGTAGTGGTATTATGTTGTGTTGCCCACTCAATTGTGTCCTAAGCTTAGTTATGAACTCTATGCAGCTCAAAACCTACGTCTTATAATTCAATAGAGGGGTTGATCTTATACTTATAAATAAATTAATTAAGATTCACGAACTTACTTATTAATTTGATCACTAAAGTGTCAAGTACATAAATGAAAATGTTAGTGATCATCCGTACACCTTTATGAAAAAAGAATACTCTAATTTATGAATAAAAATTATAATTTAAATATAGTTTTGTTTGCTAATTATGATGTTGCTCAATTATAAATATTAATTTATAGCTGTAATTATTAATTAATAATTAAAATTTGAAGATTTGAAATTATTTTATAAGAATTTATAGTTTTTTAAAATAAAATATTTGAAAATAACATAGCTATAAAATGAATAAAATAGTAACATATCTATTACTATATCTTCAAAATAGATTTAACGTTTAAATGTAATTCAAGTTTAATTTATGGACCCAATTTCTATGCGGACAAGCCCGCATATGTAGAAATGCGGGCCGCTTAATAAATCTATTTTTGAGATGGATTTTAAGGCGTAATTTTTAACGACACGTAATCTCTAACATGGAGATCATGAATATGAATAAATAGATAAGAGCAATGATCCAATGCAACGGTTGTATCATAGTATAATGTAACGACTCTTCTAAAAAACCATGTTTGTGGTATTTGTATGACCCCAAATTTTGTACACACACTCTCTTCATCTCAATAATCAATTCCCAAAAACATAAAAGTTCAATTTGAACTCTAGATATGGTCAAAATGAGTCATCTGCAAAAATGAATCTAGACCATTCATTTTATGAATTTCAAGATCTTAGCCTTTATAAAGTCAAAATCATTTTTTTCTTTTTTAATATTGTTCATCTAATGATAATAAAGTCATTCAAAAAAATTGGAAATGAAAAATATCCTTCTAAGGCCTAGATCAAAGCATCTTACCAAAATGAACGACCTGTCTTAAAAAAATATTTTCTAAGTTGTGTTTTCTATTTTTTCTTTTTTTGTGATGGTTCATTAGAATGAAAAGAGTGTATATTTCAAAATTTGGATCAAACAAATGATCAAAAGATGGGGTTTTAAGGTTGTTGCATTGTATTACTATACAACGGTTACATGAAATCATTGCCCAATAAATAAATTTTAAAAACTTGAAATAGTAATTCTAGTAAGAAAATATTTGGACCGTTAGTATCCATTATTTTTAGATGGAACACCTACTTTCATCCATCCTTAAGATGGATGCTTTATACTTTCTATACCGCATATGTAGAAATGCAGTCCAGCCCGCATGAAACAATTTTCCTTAATTTATTTAAAGTATTTCTTTCAAAATAATTATGAAA